GGTGGTGGTGGATATGGGGGTTCAAGACACTTGAGGGATGGAATTAACATCTGACTTGGTGATGGACTGGATTTGTTATGATGAAGATCTCCAAAAGGACCCTATGTTTTTGACTAGAAATGATGTCACATGAGGAGAGAAGTAAGCTAGAAGATCAGGGTGCTTTGTATGGTGGTGGTAGTGTTTGGGATGAGTTTGGTTTTGGGAGAAAAAGCTTGTCTCAGGAACTAGTATACAAAACATGTGGGCATCCATATCTAAAGAAGACATATTTCAAAATATTTAAATATGAAAGTAGTATTTAATTTAAATATGAAAGTCCTATTTAATAAATTGTATGATAGAGAAGTTGAGACGTTTTTAAAAGAAAATTCATTTTAAAATATTTGTTTTGTATTAGCAAGGCAAAATAAAATTTATGGAAGAAATTAGTAATAAAAAGTAGTTTTGGATATTGTCAGTTGGCAACTGATTTTCACCAAGAAAATAAATTAACAATAAAACACAAATTTATGTAAAACTTTCAACAATAAAGAATTAAAAACAAAATGGGAATTTAAAGAAATAAGTGAACAAAACAAGAGATCCCAACACTACAATGATTATTATTCAACTCTACATCTTTACAATATGAGCACTTTGAAAGTGAAATTTCATCTAACAATTAAATCTAACAAGTCCTTTATAAAATGATGATTAATGAGCTCTGAATAGACAGATTTGATGGAATAGATGTTCAAAATTCATCTTTGAGTCTATCCCAGGTCATTCCATTGCCAAAAGAAACATGACCCTTCAATATTTGGAAAATGCAATTAGGATATCAATACCTTTGAAAGATCTGCCACAGTGCTATTTGATTTAAACAAAACACCATAATAATGAACAGTATAACCTAGGACATATATCATATTGCTCAACTGAATTATTTAAAAATATACACTAGCAAATGTATTCCACAAACTTCTTTTAATTCCTACAACACCCATATTTCTTTTCTTTTTTAAAAAATAACTTTTTCCCCCAAGAGTCTCAGAAGGCTAAAAAATGCTTTCATTGAGTTTGGCTGACTATAAAACCAGCAAAATTTTAATATTAATATCTTTTTTTAAAGTAACTTTTTTGGAGACTATCCTACTGGCATAAGTATTTCTATTTGATAGAAAAGGTTTTTAGTTTCAACACTTACTAAAGGATTTAAAAGTAACTCATTGTCAAATGAAAATTTTTATCCTCCAAGATTAACGTGTGTGTATGTGAGTGTTTGTATATGTATACGCATATGTGTGCACACATGTGTATGTATGTGAGTGTGCAAGTGTGCATGTGTGTGGACATGAGTATATGTTCACACACATTCATGTGCATATTTATTTTCTTCACTTATTTGATCCCACTGCGTGAGTTCATAAAACATCACTTACTTTGTGAAATGCTCATCGAAACCACAAAATATTGAAAGCTTCACGTTATCCCCCCAAGAAAAGACAGGCCACTCTGCATGGCACTAGGTCGCTTTATGGGGCGGGAGCGGAGGCGGGGACACCTACCGTCTTGCTGAGGTAGCCCGTGCTGGTGTTCATGCACTGAAGCCCCTCGCTGTTGCAGCAGCCCCCACATCTGTAGACGGACACACATGGAGGTTTAAAGAAGGTGTTTGTGGCTGCTCCAAACTCCTTCCCCACATCTACACACACCTCACGTGGCATGCATTGAGTCTTTCTCCACTCATTATCAATACCTGCGAGTCATAGGGAAGGCCAGAGGTTACACAGAGCCACAAGGGGAGCGCCCCCAGCAGCGGGGAGCCACTTACATTTGATCTCAGATTTTAAGACTCAAGTTTCATAGGTAACTTTACAGAAATCACTGACGGTGCCCACACTGCCCTGTGAGCTGGAACACAGTACCATGTGAAACAGCAGCAAAGGATATTTTCTAAAAGAACCAATTTCTACAGCCATGTCACCAGCTAAGGTAGATGTGCTTCCTTAAAATGACACCGATACTCCACAGCACGGATGTCTGCTTTTAGTAAGAAAACGAACATTTGCTATATCGATGTTCCCAGGGTCTGCAGAGGTAGCCACGCTCATCTGCTGTGACATGCACGGCCTCCCTGGGCTCTGAGCAAATAGGAAATGCTGGGTTCCTCCTTTAAGCTGAGATGTCAATGAGATGATGGCTATCGTGTGGGACTCCCTTCAACAATGACGGTCAGGCAGGCTGTGTGGCCATTTGCGGCAGTGCCATGGTGGCAGCTACTTGAAATATAAGGGTATTTGCAACTGGGAACATGGATCCTGAACTCTGTTTCCTCAGCAAAGTGCTCTCTCTTAGAGTTCCACCTGCAGTGACTTCACGTTTTGCTTTGAGCCCCATTGACTCTTTAAATGCTGTGTTACAAAGCGTGTACGTCTCCAATGTCCTAGCTCATTTCCCCGCATTTCTCTTAAAATCATATTCTTTGGGGAAAAATTACATACAAG